AATTAGGAGTGCATCAACATTGATTTTGATTAGTTGATGATTAATAGATATAATTTGCAGATCTAAAAGGGATTTATGTGTTGAACCTCATATGTTAGGCTACAGATAACCCTTACACTGTACTCATGCTTCCCCTATTTGAAGTCTGTGTACCATGTGCAACTAAAGCCTGTCTCTGACAAGGCCATGCTCTGAAGACTCCAAGTCATGTGCAGCCATGCCAACATCCCTTGGAAGCTTGTTCCAGTATTCATCATCTTTGGAATGTTGTTTTGTTTCTCAAATGAATTTGTCGATATCAGCTTTTCTCTATGGTTCTTGCTTTGTCTTTCTCTCATATGGTTTGATAAACCCCATTCTACTACCTTTAAAGAAGGCGTTTCAGATCCTGCTAAAGCATTTCTTAGCCCTTTCCCCCCTTTTTTTTAATTTCTTTCCTATTTTTTTTCTTTTCTTTTTTTTCTTTATCTTTTCAATAGGCTAAGCAGATACAGATCTTTTAATTTAATTCAACAACCCACTTTTTCTGCCCCTTGAATTCTTTCTTTGGAACTTCTTGGGACTCTTCCAAGTTTATAAAAATCTCTTCAAACATCGATATCAGAGTGAGGACTTTAATGTCCATCTCATTAATGCTCTAAAAGTTCCTACTCACTTCTGTCCCTACTCAGTCCTTTCCTGTTACATGCATATGATAACGTTAGCCCTTTTCATTGCAGTGCTTCACTTGAAGGTTATACTGAACTGCCTGTCTGTTGTGTTGCTCAAACTGGAGCCACAGTCTTTATTATTAGACTTGGACAATACTAAGTGACCTATTATGTAAATACAATAGGCAACTAGTATTTTTTTCACATTTAAATTTGGTTTTCCTAACTGCAGTTGTCACAACTGTTCAAGTAATGGAATTCTACCGATATTCAATAAAAAACAAAATCAGTGATCCGGTAATGCTTTTAACGACTCTTTTAGCATAGGGCAGGTTAATGAAGCTTCCTCATTTAGAAATATTTCCCCCAGATAGATGTTTTTTTAATATTCTCTTATGCCAATAATACAATGGAAATTTCTTTATCACAGTCCTGTAATAAAAAAATAGAAAATCCTGTTTCTATTGAAATACAGAGAGAAATATTTGTTTCATTTACTGCATTGTTCTAAAGCAGAGATCCTGCATTATTCTGAGATTTTTCATATCCTTTTTACACTTTTAAAACTCCTATTTTTCATATGGTTATGTTATTAATTATTTTGAGGAACTCATTCTTTTGAGTTGCCAAATTTTGTTTGGGGTTGACATGAGTTTGCCCTTTGTGAACATAATCCGGTTATAGTCAGTCTAGAAATAAGAGCCACCTTTCTCTGTAATGGATATTTCACCTTTTTCCTCAGGCTGACATTCCCATGTAGTGGTGCCTTTTGTATTAGAAAAATTATCATGCAGGTTGTTTGGGAACTCTGACAACAGTTATGTGAGTAGTCCTAAACTGAAGTTTCCCACAACCACACAGTTTTATTTCCAGGCGTGATAATAAATAATTCATCCTAGGGTCCAGTTTGATTTGGGCTGATTTGGGTTACAATGGACTTCTGCTAGTAATGTGTCACAGCTTGCTTTGTTACCTCACTCATATTTCACATTTAAATCTTGTGGTTATTGGATTTACTGATAGTTTTAAACAAAGTGACAGTGTCTTTAACAACCATTTTTTTCTTGCCTGCTTCTTCCTCATCCTGAATCTTCCTCATTCCTGATTGGAATTAATGTTTAAAATATTCTGTTATATATTTAAATGTTCATTAACTCAAGTCCTTAACACAGGTTTTAATAAGTGAAGATCTATAGTCTCAGAGCCATTGCAATATAGAATTTGCTTGTGATTTTAAGCGTTTTTAGTTAAGTATGAATTGATAATAGACCAACACTTTCCAGTAAGTCTGTTTCATCTGAATAGATAAAGTAGGATTTTATCACGTTACCAAATTCAGTTGGACTGGACTTCTTCAATTAGAGATTTTTCTTTTCCCCTTTCCTCTATGATTGCTGTATTCCTGAATTTTATTCTCCTCTATGGAGGGATTTATATTCAGATCAAAAGGACCTAAGAGCGAGAGGAGCAACCTGTTGTTGCTTATAAGTTTGAGAGTCTGGGATTTATTGGAATGAACCTGGGACACTTTTAATGTAATTTGAATATTACATTCAACTGAAAAGCCCTTCTTTTTGATCAGCTTGTTTGGACATATTCAGACAAATGCAAAGAGCCTTTGCAAGGAGGATATACACAACTAAATTGTGTAAAGCAGTTTTTCGTAGGCTAGCACATACTGAAGATAACAAGGAGTTAACAAGCACTAGGCCTATGCACTTGCATCCTCACCACCCTGGTGGATGAGGCATCCGAAGAGCTGCAGCTGCCCAAGCTGGTGTCAGCTAAGCGTAAATATTATTTTTGAGAAGTTAAGACAAAAGAATCATTTATGTTTTGAGGATTTATATGGCATCAAGGAGAAAAATGGTCATGTCAGAAAAATGCATGTCAAATTTTATGCAGTAAACTGTAAATTCTGTTTGGTGCAAATTTATAGATTATTAATTACTTTTTTATTTGACTTACGTAAAGGTTTTGCAGACATGATCAGTCTCTGCATTCTGTAAATCATAATGACCATACAAGAAAAACGATACAAAATTATTTTCTCAGTAGAATCAGCATGGATTTCTTACTATTCACTGCTAAAATGAGTACAAGTATTTGTATCTCCACAAATAATTTTCCAACACCAATATCCAGTTTTATATTTTGCTCTTCAGTGGTTGAGCTATTCTCAAATCAATCTATATGTTACGAATTAAAATAAAGAAGGCAGATAGAAATGCTCTGTGAGAAGCCTAGCTATAAGTAAGTTAATATAGACAATTGGATGACATCTACCTGGAAGGAACATATGGCAAAGTCAATATGCTTATTTTCTATCTATCTCTTGTATTTTTATTTGTGGTATAGCTGCTCTTGTTTCCCAGTCTAACAAAGAAACCAAAGTTGCATTAAGCTTCCATTGTTGCTAGTTATAAAGTTTTAATATTTTATAGCTGTGAAATGCATATATGTAAATTTGTAATTGCGGAATCAATACTGGCATATTAAAAATGTGTCATTGTTACTGAGCATTTCAAGTTGTATAGATAATGAGATCAAAAACCTCCAAGATCAATACACAGTCTGGGGTACAAAAATTATTCTGAACATTTAGATCACTGTATATGACAGCTCCAAGACTTTGGAGCACCCAGTAATTAAGGAATTACACTTATAGCAAACTACAAAGTTTGTGTCTCCTTTGGGTTTCAGTCAGTGCTGCCTTCCCATTTACAGTATCTAGTTGCACTGTTGTCTCATGAGAAGTCCACAAATCAGAAAAACAAAATTGGTGATTTGCCTCTGCTTCCTACAGTTCCATGCTTTACCAGATACTATTACTGCTTGTTCCCAGCCCATGATCCCAAATTATCTCAGTTCCTTTGTTTCCACTCTCTTGGCCTACATAGCAGGTAGAATAGGACAAAAGTCACTGGTATGTTTTATTTGCTTCTTTTAAGCCCAGTAAACAGAAAAGCTAAGGAATGATCTCCTCTACTGCAGAAATATTATTCAAGGTTGAAAAGTGAAATTCTGTCAGGGAGATATTTCTTAATTATTTTTTATTTTTTTTTTTTCTATTTTCCATTTTTGTATTCTTGTCTGCATTTGTTGCCACCTTTCCTTTCTTGCCAGATTTCCTACTCTGATATTCAACATATTTTCTGGTTTTATGAATCTTTGTGCAAATAGTTCTCAAAAATTCTGTTTCTTTATTTTTTCTTTTCTAAACATTGATTATCACTTCTAGCCTCTATCTTTGACCCAAGTTCAAGGGTTTCTTTGGCCTTTTCCTCACTTGTCACTCCCTACCTTTCTTTCCCTAACATTTCAGAGTGTATTCCTCTCGCCTTACCCTCTGTTTTACGTTTTTTTTTCTTTCCTCTTTTCTTTATGTCCTTTCATTTCTCCCTGTTTCCCCCCTTATTATTAATAATCTTTTGATATCTATGTCATTGCTGCTGTACTTTTGTTTTGCCTGTCCATCTTCCCTCTCATTCAGACTTCTTGTCTTGATCTGGGAATTGACATCTATGTGTTCGTGTGGAGAGCTGGGATAGCTGTGTCTGGAAAGAAGATGCAGAACAGCAACAGGATGTTGTTAGGATGATGAGAGAAACTCTGCAGGTTGCCGGTTGGGTTTACATACAACCAATTATAGCAATTGCATGAGACCCTGGGGGAATTATCGTCATCCTTTATTGTATCATAGAGTCATAGAATAGTTAGGGTTGGAAAGGACCTTAAGATTATCTAGTTCCAATCACCCTGCCATGGGGAGGGACACCTCTCACTAAACCATGTCACCTGAGGCTCTGTCCAGCCTGCATATGCATATAACCTTAAATGAGTTAATTTGTAGTAATTGCAGAATATGTTGAGCTCAGGCATTGCACAACCACTCTCTCCACTGCAGCAGATATCCAGCAGTAATGGGCTGCTGGAGGAGATGGCAACTTTTAATTCCCTTGCCTGCTCTGCTGTGTGCTGTGATCCTCTCAGCCCCGTGCTGGGATCTGCTTCTTCAGTTAACAGTATGGGATATGCAAGTGAGACTAGCACCAGCCTGCAGGGTTGAAGACCTGGCAGGAAAGAGGTTGTGTCTGCCCTCAGTACACTGGGGATTAGGGAACGTAACATAAAATTGAGATGATGTTGAGCTTTTGGATGAAGGGGGCCATGTGTATGCTTTCCTGCACATCATTAGGGCACCATGTTTAACCCAAGAATGAGAGAACTGAAGGAGATGACCCTGCTGGGAAGCTGTGCTGTCCAACTATCTGTCTGTCTGTCCCATAGGATGCACTTCACAGTGCTTTCTCTTTGTTTTGCTCATAACTAACCTTGGTGTCATTACAGGCCATGGTATCTGCTCATGTGGCCGATGCATTTGCCAGGACGGGTGGTTTGGAAAGTTGTGCCAGCATTCAAGGAAGTGCAACATGACAGAGGAGGAGAGCAGAAGTCTCTGCGAGTCAGCAGATGGCATATTATGCTCGGGGAAGGGTAAGATGTGGCAGCTGAGCCACGCCATATCAGTGCCCCTCCAGAGGAAAACTGTCAGGTTCTGGAAGACTAATGTGCTTGGCTGTGTGTTATCGTTTAATAGCCCTTTCTTTCAAAGGCACTTATTATTAAAAGGATGTTATATTTGGCTCCTTAATGCACTTGCATCCATTTTGTCAAACACCCACTGCAGACATACGTGTTTAATAATGTTGCTGTCCTATGCAATTTGTTAAAAGTATATAATTTCCTGTATGTGTTTATCTGATGGTCTGCATTGAACGGCTGTATATTATAAACTGTTAATGTTCCATCCAGACTGAGGGACAGAGGCATTGCCCACACTTCAGTGGGCAAGATGGCAAATGTACTATCTCAGGCAACGGTAAGTGGTGGAGAGTGTGCAACAGCAACTTTTGGTATAATCACCTCCCTCCTCAGCAGAGCAGCAAAGGAAAGGTGGACATCTGCAGCCCCCACAACAGAATCCAACAAACCCTTATTTACTAAATTTTTATTCAGGTGCTTGCTTTAGTTTGTTGGGTTGGTTTGTTTGTTTGTTTGTTTTCCAGCTATGAAAAATTGCCCCAGGGAGGGATGAAATTTAGAAAATGTTGATAATTATCTGAAACTGTTCTCTGAGGTTTTTACCTTGCAGTCTTTCAGGCTAGAAAATTGCATTACTGGAAAGAAAGCTTTTTAGCTCCCCCATAATGCAAACTGCCTGTTTTTATAATATAATATGCCTGAAAGAGACAAAAAATGGTTGGTGGGCCTGGCTGGAAGCTAAAATGCCCTCACTCCAGACTGGATGTGCCATTTCCCTTGTTCATATGTCTCTTGCACGGACAGGGAAGAAGCCTATTAACTGGAAGAAAACCCAGTTAGGAGCCTTTTACATCAGGCAGATTTCCAGCTGTCTCTTTAGTAGCTCTTGTTTCAGTGCAAAAGATATTTAAATGGGGTTTCCAGCCCGGCCTTCTTCCATCTGTATTATCACTTATCAGAATTCTCCCACACCACACCTTTTTATTTTGGCTTTTTTCTCCCCCCAGTTGTTGCAATGTCATAGAAAATAAGGAAGTTTCACTGTCTCTGCGTTGTTTCCATGACTGTGGCTATCTTTAATTTAGTATGTGTGTAAGAGGATGCTGAGTTACTGGAGAAATGGAGCTACTGTGGTTTACTGCAGAAGTTAATTACTCTTAGTCTTGGTGTCCCTGTGATTTTTTTGTTTTTTTTTTTTTAATATAAACTGTGAAGGTAGGGAATATGCTCATAATCAATAAAATGCACTATATAAGAATCTAAATATAAATGTGAAAAATTATTTTGAAATTTAAAATATTTGTATTGTCTGTTACCTTTTTGGAAATATGGCTGAGAGCCTGTTGAATACTCTGAGAACAATTAGCTTTAAGCATGTATATCAAGGCTACAATTTACTTTGAGGCTTTCAAAGTATGTAATCTGGCAGGAATTTGCAGAGACATCCAGGATATTTTCCCTCTGTTCTCTGTGCTGCCCAGGGGATGGTTTGGGATCTGATCACTGATATAGGGTGGAGCAGCCTGAAAGTTGCTCTAGGTTGTAACCTGCTGCATGCAGGTACTGCTTTTAAACCTGATACATGAATGATGTCTCCAAAAGACCGGATTTTCTAAGGCAGTAGCACACTGTTGAGTAGCATTTACTTTCTGTGTGAATTGCAAACCTGCCCCTAAATCCGTATTCAGCAGCACTGGTGGGATTATTTTAATTTTTTAAGTTTCTTCAGCCCCCAAACACAGGTGAGCTTCTCGTGTGACCGAGGGTTTCCTTGAGGACAGTCAGTACAATAAAGCTGTGTCATATTAGGCGCTATAGCAGCTTTGTTGTGGGAGCAGCCGGTCATACGTGAATGCTTGTCCCAGCAGAAAAATCCCTAAGTAAGACAACCTCAAGAAGCATGTAGCCAGTGAACACCGAGGAGACTACTGTCTCCTGCCTCTTCTCTGACCAGGATGGGGTTTTATTTGTAAGACAAATCTATTCTTGATACTTAAATATCTGGAAATCATACTTTAAAATGTTGTTAATAGCTAATGTGACCAGCACTATCCAGAGGTCAAAATGACAAATTGTTCTTTCTGTTTCATTACATTGAGCCATACGTAACCATTACTGGTCAAATAAAAGGGAATTTTAAACCCATGAACTAATGGTGGTTATTCTGTCTCAGCTGGAAACCTAGCCAAGATATGCAAATGCAAAAATGGGTTTGGGGATCTTGACTTTCTGTATGTAGGAGTTATGAACTCTGAGGAGTCCTGGTTTTCAGCAGGCAACTGCTGAACACTGTCAGAAAATTACGCTCTGCTAACACAAGCAGAGTTGGGCATCCACATTGCTAGGGTGTTCTCAGAATCTTGGCTTGCTGACAATGCCACCTGTAGTAAAAGCTCTTCCCAAGGAAAACAGCAACACCCACCATGCTGCTGCCTCCCTGGCAGTAAATGCAGGGATGCAGATGGCTACTGTAACAGTGCAGGATGGGGGCTAGGTAATGAGCCAAAGCCCATGCGAGAGGATCTGGCTGGGATCCCAGGGAACACCCTGCAACTCATTAGACTTGTTTTAATTAAACTGAGGAGCCTCCCAGAGCAGCATTCTCTGTTCAGGGAAAAGACATGATACATTTATTCTCCCTTACAGATTTTGCATTATGGATTCTGATCTTCCTTGGTTGGCTTGGTGTTAAATTTGCTGTATCTTCTGCAAAATAGTTTTAAACATCACGGGCATCCCTCAGTAGCAGCATCAGTGCCCGCTTATGCAGAATCACTTCAGGTTTCTCACAATGTTGTGCTCTTATTAACTGCTTTAATTTCACTGAAATTCTCATACAATTCATCATTTTTAGCTCTCAGTAGCTTGTAGTTTGTATAAACAGAAACATTCAGTTTAAATTACCCTCAAATATGTCTTAGTGTACCTTTTATACAGCAGCCATGCAGCATTTATGCTATCCCTCCTGTCGCTTTGTACAATGGCATTTTTCATCCTTGTGGGGAATGTCAGCATTTTCTGTGCCCATGGCTCAGTAAGCAATACTAAGAACTCATGGAAAAAAATAGGTGCTTATCCAGATGCTTCCATCCCCAAATGTTCCAGTTGCTGGCTCTTCCTGTATGTATTTACATGTCGCATATGTTACAAGTTAAAACAGCACTTCTCTAAAATTAGGCAATGAGTTAAATTTTGTCAGTAAACACTGAATTACTTTCATTTTAATTAAAAAAAATAAAGTAGAAACTCTGCTGAAGCTATTCTAAAGGTTTAAGGAATTAAGTTTCAGTGATCAGGGACACTTTGGTATTTATGAGAAAAACCTATGGAATATTGCTTGATAGTGACAGATAAATTCTTTTTTTTTTTTTTTTAAAGTGTATTTGGATTTTTCCGTTGGATTTTATTCAGAAGTCACTGAAAGAAATGGAAAGGTGGAAAAGCATCTAGGTCCAGCCCCCTGCCATGAGCAGGGACACCTTCCACTAGACCAGGTTGCTCCAAGCACTTCCAACCCATCCTTGAATACTTCTAGGGATGGAGCATTCACAATCTCCTTGGGCAACCCATTCCAGTGCCTCACCACCCTCACAGTAAAGAATTTCTTCCTTATATCTAACCTGAACTTCTCCTGTTCAAGTTTAAACCCATTGCCCCTTGTCCTATCACTACAGTCCCTGATGAATGTTCCCTCCCCAGCATCCCTGTAGGCCCCCTTCAGATACTGGAAGGCTGCTAGGAGGTCTCCACGCAGCCTTCTCTTCTCCAGGCTGAACAGCCCCAACTTTATCAGCCTGTCTTCATACAGGAGGTGCTCCAGCTCCCTGATCATCCTTGTAGAACTTGTAGCCAAGCTTCCTTCATATTTTCTTTAATATTGCATTAAAAACTTTTGTGTCTTTGTATTGGAATCATTCTGAAAATTTTGCAAGAGGACTAGGATTTTCAACTGCATCTAACTCATTTATAAGCATGTTCTATTAACAGTTGACAGCTTCTTTGGTGACATTTTTTAAATCCTGCCTCTCATAATTGAAAACTATGCGTATATTCATGTGTTGTCTTATTTGTTGTGATTTATTTGTTTTTTGACATTTTTGTATTGATTTGTGCTGTTACCAGTTCATAGGTCCCCAGAAGGATTTTTTCGCTTAGCAGTTACTAAGTGTGTCACCTTAGCATTTAAGTGTCTGAACTCTGTACAAGGTCAGGCAGCTGAGGATGGGCTCTGTAAAAGCCAACTCTTCAGCTGGGTATTGGAATCATCCATGAGGAATTACCATTTCCTATTGGCATTTTTAGTTGCATAAAAGCCTCTCTTGCAGCCTTCTGACTCTACAGACTTCCTGAGATATGGTTGCCTTGGGGCAGCTGTCCCTTTCCAGGATTCAGAGCCATGAACCTTCTCCTGAAGGTAGAGATGGCTCTGAGTCTTCCCTTAAAGGGAGGTTTCTGGTGTTTGGTGGGTTGCAGCATCACACGAAAGTCACCATGAAGTTCCCCCTTTGCTTGTGGGGGTGCAACCTGACATCCCTGAGGAGAAGAGCTGCTTATCCCAATGAGACGCACTGGGGTACTCTGCAGAAACAAGTAGACTGCTGAGTCACCACTATGTGCACAAAGTCTTTCTGACCTAGAGGAAATTCCATGGGAGGTGGAGCAGTTTCTTTTGTGGTGATGAGGGTTTGAGGGGGTCTAAATTTGTTATTCTCAGGCACCCCTGGTCTTTTTTAGCCTCACCCCTAAAGATTTTAGATGAGGAGGGCCATTTTCTTCCTGGGTACGATTTTATTGCCTTCAGTAACAGTGGGTCAGGGACAATTTGAGCTTTTCTAGTCAAAAAAAGAGCATTTGCTGGGAAGAGCAGCTCTGATTGTAGGCCTCTGAAACCAAAGAAAAGCTTCAAAATGCAAGTCCTGATTAAATGAAATAGCAGAATCAAAGCATTAGTAGTAACGTCCCACCATACTCTTATGTCAAAAGAATCCTTTTATTCAGAAAGCTTTTAGCTTGATGATTTTCTTTTATGCAACAGCTTCTTAGGCAAGCAATTTTGTGCCTATGCGCACATGTGTGTGTGTGCACGCGTATGTCTGGGCATGTTATTCTCTAGTCTGAAAATGCCAGTGCTCTTTGTGAGTAATGTTTTTCTGTGATTTCAGGTTCCTGCCACTGTGGAAAGTGCATTTGTTCACCACAGGAATGGTACATTTCGGGTGATTTCTGTGAATGCGATGACAGAGACTGTGACAAACACGAAGGTCTCATTTGCACAGGTGCAGTACAGGCTAACACTTAATTGCTTCAGGAAACAAACTGTGTTGATGGGGATTATATTAAACAAAGCCTGGCTTCTTCCTCCGCTGACGGAGGAAGTGCGTTTGCTGGTTATGCAAACCTGCTATAATTGTTTCTTTTTGCAATGTGATAATCAACTTAAGGTTTCAAAACACCATTTGAAAGCCTGAGTATGAATTTAAATAAGTAAGCCAGCTATGAAATCCATCAAGACTTTTCACTGTAATAGACTACAATTTACTGCTTTTTGGCAAAGGACGCGCAGTGTGGAAAGGATGTTTTGATCATGAGATTTCTTTAGCTTTTGTTCTCTTACTGGATTTTCTATGTACATATTGCTTTTAAGTCATAGACAAAATTCACTTGTCTGATGATCTTGGTAGGTGAGTGGCATAGCTGTGTGGGTTAACAGAGCTTCCTGGCAATCAGGCAGTTCTCAGCGGGAGGCTGAAATACCTGACAGTTTTTCTTATGACATGATGGCTAGTGATTAAAGCAGTTTCACCTTAATACTGTCTGAGAGTTCAGGTGGCAGATGTGGATAGAAATGGGTAGGCTACCACCAAACCCTCATGACAAATCTAGTGACAAGAAGGAACACGGGAATTGTAAATTAACTCACTGGCTGCTTCCTGTTACAAAGCTTAATTTTAGAAATCTTTGCTGAGCAATTATTAGATGTGGAGGAAATCTGCAAGCCAATTAGAGTGAAAGTGGGAGGGCTGACACTCATAAATTGTCTCACAGCTACTCCTATTAGCAAGGGTCCTTTTCTGGGGGTTAGTACCCAAAATAGAGGCAAGGAGTCTTCAGCTTCAGCAGCTCTTCATAGATTCTCATAAAGTCAGTGGGAAGACTCGTCACATCGGAAACCCAGGCTGTAGAAGTCTCCAGCTAAGCATCCAGGAGTCATGAGAAATATTTGAATAAAACGAAAGTAACCTTTCCCCACTGCAAAATAGGGCCAACACATTTTTCATCTAATAGAGGGTTTGAGATATTATTTCTTTTTATAGCACTTTTGCGAATTTAGGTTTAAAATTTTTCAGTTTCAAAGTGATGTTTTTATTGCTACTCTGTTTGTAACTTTTTTATGTCCTTTTCTTTCTAAATGATAGTTAAAAGTAATCTTGGTTTTCCTTGTACCTGGAGGTACAGTGTGAACACTGAGCCTCAACAGCGGGGTACAAGTAGAGGTGGCATAATTGAAATATTTTCAATTCTGCCAATGGAATTATTGAGAGAATGTTATTAATGCTTTGTAAGTATAGGTTTGGGCTGGCTTCTTAATGCAATGGGACAGTAATTGCTTCCTTCCAAAAAAAGCCCCCAAAACATGGGGGGGGAAGCCATAAAGGAACAATGCAGACTTTAGCATAGCTTTTTACTTCCCATAAAACACATTTTAATGTACTACATTTCAATTATGATAATTGCCCTTTATTCATTCTGTTCTAGGTAATGGTGTTTGTAGCTGTGGAAACTGTGAGTGCTGGGAAGGATGGAACGGAAATGCTTGTGAAATCTGGCTGGGAAAAGAATACCCTTAACAAAGCCCATCAAAGACTAAGAAGGTTTTTTGTTTGTTTTTCTTTAGGATGCTAGAACATTTCATTTCAGAAGTACTCAGTATGTGGGTGTGCATGCATGCACACGTACATGGGTGTAAAAGCTTTAGAACACTCATCTGAGGGCCTGCTCTGTAAAGAAATGCATAAGAGAACTAAAAGAAAAAAAATTAAAATTGCCTTGGGAGCTGGAGAGTCCAGGCTCTAAAATGTGAAGTCATAAAATACTATAAAGGCCCTGTGGATCTTTCCAGAGTATTTTGGTAAATTCAGTGGGACCGAGACTACACCCATAATTCCTGTTTCTTGAGCAACCTTTGGAAAAGGTGCAAGAAAGCCTTTTTACTAAACATTATTTACTTGGTTGTCTCCTCCCTGTATCAGTATGCAACAACAGTACTCCTGTAGAAGTGCAGCACTAGTTGAACATTTGCCAAATGCTTAATTTGATTCATTTTGTGGTGTTTCACAAATACATTGTTTGGTCCTTTTTTATTTTCCAACAACAGTTTCTGAGTACATACCAGCTCACAAATTGAGAAAAGCTGTAAAGAAGTTTATACAAATATTAATGATTTTTTTATTTGGTCAAAAAATTGTACTCAGATAACTGAGGTCCAATTACCTGACAGCCATAGAATGAAGACCCAAGGTGTTGGAACAGACCCTTGTCCATAAGAGAACTTCTTAGTTTCTACAGTTAATGTGTCAATAAGTTGATTATATAGTCTACATATTACAATACTTTCAAATACATAATCTATAGGAGTATAAGGAACAAAATTAATAAATATATAAACATATGATTACCTATTCTGAATATGTATCCTGCAACTCATATGTACTTTTATCATAATGTTCTATGTATGTACAGTTGCCTCTTAAAAGTAAAGCAAATGAAAATTTGTTATACCAGTAACTTTTAGGATGACAATTCTGTATGCTATTAGAAATCACTGTTTGGAACAGATTGCACTGTCCCACATGGTATTCATTGAATCTAACTGATTTTATAGAAGTAGGGAGCCTGAAGGTCAACTGACTTAAAAAGTCAGCTATGGTATTTAGTAGCCGGGTTTCAGCCAAAGATGTTCAGACAATAGCAACAAAGTAATTAAAGTTTTAATCCAGTAAATGCAAACAAAGCAGTGGTATGACCAAAAATTTTATTTTCCAATGGTGAAATGCTGCTCAGTGTGAAATTCACATTGAGTTATGAACGATGCACAACTATTGGGACTTCCCTAACTTATTTACATATGAGTCTCTTTTTTCAGGTTTTTTTTTTTTTTTTACATGTAGATTTGGCAGCCCTTGAATTCTTTAGAGCAAAAAAAGATACAGACATTTTAGGTTCAGAAGTGTTTACATTTTGTGAAACCATGATTGAGCAAGAAATTGTTTAAATGGTTGGACAATATTTCTTTTTAATACCAAACTATAACATTGTGGTTTTAGATGCCAAGGTCCTGATTTTTGAAGAGGTACATGACTCAGCAATAAGGGAACTATATATCAACAAAAAAAGGAATTTCCATGATTAGCCTAGAAATTACATTTGTTTTAAAAAGGACAATTTTGAAACAGGAAAGTACAATGGTACAGGACATGTAATAGAATGCAAAAATTTTAAATGAACTTATTATTTCCCCTTCCCTTGTAGTTTTCCCTTTTTAATCCATTTTTTTTTAATTTTACTTGTATTCTTTCTTTTTAAAGTTTAAGTTTATGAAGCACATATTCTCAGGGAGTATAATCACCAAACATCAATGCATAACTTCTAGAAAAGCTATGCGGATAACTAATGAGATATACATCCCAAAGCTGTTAGCTGCTCTCTTCTTAAGTTATCAAATTATCAGGCAGAGTTCTAAAATGTATTGATACAGTATAAAGAACCTTCAAAGTCAAATTCATCTTGAAATTATAGAGCTTAACAGGAATACTTTCCTAGATTTTAACATGTATGCATTTAGTCAACCCTGGTGTGTGGAGAGCACAGATTGTTGGTTTTATTTATATTTATGAATATCGCTGACCTTAATCATCTCATAATCAGTGTTTTTTCCACATATACATTCATCTGCTGAATTGGAGTATAAATAATGAAAGATACAAAGTTTTCCTTGATTTCCTTCCATTTGTATTTAGTATTGTAATAAGAAAATAGCAGATAATCAAAACTCTCTCTAGGTTCAGTAGATGCCTTTTAATGGTTTCATGGCATGGTAAGCAGATTTATATATCCCATAGATCAGCCATGGTATTTCAGGTATTCATATGCATAAGAACAATTCTTTAGAGGGTTGCAATGTCATATTTGATGCATTTTACTTTGTATTTTGCTTTAAATTTATATACTTAAAGAGTGTAAGGTTATTCTATTTCTAGTTAGATTTATTTCATTTTTTTTTTAACCCAATCAGCTCCAGTATTTTGGCTACTGGATGGATTATGTAGCCACAGCATTTCAGAAAATGTTATCCAACTCATTTGTTAAAGTACATATACAAAAAATAGTAGAATATTCTAAGACAGCTACTGTCAGTGGTTTGTTAAAATGTAAATTAGCAAACAAAATGGTGCTATCGCTATAAACCTTGAAGTATAACTAAGACTACCAAAAATATAAGGTATGCATAAATTCCAATTTTTATTCTGTTTCTTGTAACGTTGCTTGAACATTCCCCCCACTCTTCCTGCTAAGGTAGCTGGTGATGTAACTCCCAGCAGATCTGTTTTGTGGCTCATTTGCTTGCTAAAAAATGAGATCAGAAGGAACAGGATTATTATTCCACGTATGTGAAAATAATAGCTGTATTAATAAATTGTGATTTTGCACCTCATTCCCTGTGATGGGAATTCCAGATACATAAGCTGTAAAAGCAAGAAGAGGTATAAGGGATTGGAACATAATGCTCAATTCTTCATACCCAGTGACTGTAAAAAATTGCTTTTAGGCCTGTGGCAAAAGGCAAAATACGACAAAACCAAATTGGATGCATTTTGTACTGGCTGGATTTATAAACCTTATAAACAAAAGACACTATACTCTTTCTTTCTTATTATGAAAGAAAGAGCACAATCCAGAAGTGTGCTGAATGCTTCTGCAATCAACTTGCAGGATTATGCCTACTGTATATAATATATCTATAATATCACCTATAAACCAGCTGTGGACTAATTTCCTTCTATAAATTAGTGACCTACTTGTGACCCTTTTTTCACTTTGTAGCTAAATGATACCGGCATGAAGAAAGCTAAGTTGAATATTTTTGTGGCTAAGTAACAGAAGAAAAATTTTATTATATCTTTAAAAATAAGTCATGGCATTTGCATTAGTCATCACAAAACCCCCTTGTTACTAGAGATTTTAAAAAGCATTGCAGAGAATAGGAGTTTATCTAAGGGGGCTTTTAAAAGAAAGATAATCTCCTTACTTAGTCTAATTTTACTTGCATTCCCATTTGAATAGAGCCGAATAATTTCTTCTTTATGCCAACAAACGGATGGATCAGCAAGACAGATGCACTTTTAATGCATGGACCAAACTGCCTGCTTTCATACCTCACTGCTTACACTGGTTTTCAACCAAGATCGAAAGGTTCCCAGTATATATAGAAAAAGTCAGAGTTCTTAGTTGTTTCAGGTATATACCATTGTCAAACTGAACTGCTTTATATTCTGAGGGGAGGTGTGTGTAGGGAGGCTGTTAAGAACCAACCTGACTCTACGCAAGTTAAAGTTTATGAAAATGACAGTATATTAAAAAATTATTTGAGAGTGGCTAAACCCCCCAGGAAATTAAGCAAAAGTAGTGTTATGTGAACTAAAAAGCACTTAAAAGCTATAGACACCTTTCCAGAGGCCCTATCATATGAACAATCTCATAAGGATTCTTGTGTATTTATAAAATCTTTGAAGTGCAACAAACCCGTGCTTTGTTGAAGTAGTTCCTATCTGCTTAAAACTGGACGTCTAAATCTGTGCACGTGTGACTGACTTTGCCAAATAGAACTGTAGCTGAAATACAGGTTAAGAAAATAGGAAAGACAGAATGACTAGGTGCAGTGTTGTTAACATATGCAATGGTAAGATGAGGTTGGATTGCTGTGCAAACAGTCTCTCAGAGATTAGATAAAACCTAGAAGAACAAAATACAAAGCAAGCATGCAAAAGATCTGGAACGCTGCAGATTCACAGACAGCTGGACATGTTAAGTACAAAAACCCCAGTCTGTAAATACAAATTGATTCCATCAGGTTTACTATACAGTACTTTAGTAGTAACAGACAGTTGAAAATAGCTTTCACTTAACAGCAAAATTAATTTTAGAGGGAAGAAAATGGTGAAGTCTCATCCTGGAGAACAGCAAGAGAGGTATTATATTAAGGAGCTAAAATTTTCTTTGGCATGGTAAAAGGGGAGAACTGAGTTTGCCAACCTATTTACATGAAGTTTCACCATCCTGTGGCCAGTGCAATGATGTTTTGCACGCTCTACTTCTTACATAAACTTTTTTATTGTTTTCTGGTATGCCTTCATATAAATGTTTTATTCATCAAGTTGAATCTGTGTATACAACAAATAAGAATAAACACAAATTGTACAATGCAGACAAACTCTTTGCATAAATGTATGTAAATTTAGAAATACTGACCAACAGACCTTTGACAGACACAACCTACTACATGCAGTTCATCTTTGCCATCTTCCCATGCAACATATGAAACAAGACAAAATTAAAGGGAGGAAACAAAGCACAAGGACTCCTTTGCCATGTTTAAACAGATTGTAGAAAAAATATTTTTAGAACATCTATTCAGTGGATTAAACTCACATATGGATTTAGCCCATAGAAACAAAAATGGAAAATGAGAACAAAATGCTGTATTATTTCCAGTATGTACTAACTGCTTACAAAAATTAAATCGTGCCTTAATTATAGCCTCCCAAGCTGGTTTGCAGATCATAATGACTCAGGATCAGAAGTTTAATATTGAAAACAATTCTTATGTAGCATCAGGCCATGAACCAGAACCTCCTTGCATGGCTTAGCCAGGTCCCCAGCCCTGCTCTTCCCAAGCTTTTACACTGGGAGAGTGAAAAGACGGCTGGATGGGGCATGAACACATATTATTTCCTCCTCGTGAACTCTTACACAATTCAGGTAAGAGAGGAAGGAGTGTAGCCTTCAGCTGTATTATCTTATTCAAAATATTGTGGGAAAGCCTGGGGCCTCATCAGGGACCCAGCAGACAGTACAACATCAAGACTGCTGCCTCCCATTGGTCCTCCAGATGCAGAGCAAGCTCCCAGATCACCATGTAGGTTGCTTTGGTTTGGTTTGGTTTTGTTTTCTCAGGGATGGTGCACAAATCCCACTGGACCAGGTGGGATGAGAAGGGTGCACCAAAGTTTTTAATAAAGTGTTGTTTTCCCCAAGCATGCATACTTAGTGCTAGCAGGCAAGGGCACAGTCTAAGTCAAAGTTTCTTTGCATTTTTATCACAGTATTAGAGTAGGTGTGTATTTTATTTTTTTAATCTACATGGATAGTGGGTTTCATGCTTAACTCATTCCCTCCCTAGAAAGACCCGACATCAAGTGTTAGCTTGCTGTTCTCATAGTACATATATAAACAAGAAAGTCTGGCCTACAAAAAAAAACATAAAATCTATATTATAGCAGCTTTACAGTAGCCTCCTAGAAGAGTGCACTAAATGTTGCTTATAAAAACAGAACACGTTTGAAAACTAGCATGAAGACTTCATTCAGACTGAATCAGTTCAGCTGAGCAGAGAGGGAGTTTGAAATAACCTGCTATCTCTGCTAGGGACTTCAGCACAAAGATGTGATAAACTACCAGAAATATAGTGCTAAAAAAAGAATGTGTGATTTCCATTTTTTTTTTGTCTTTAAATATCAAGGTAACAGCAAGAGGCCAAGAGAGCATTGTCACACAATTTTCCAGACTGAGGTACAGTTTGGTCCTTGTTGCCCTCTCTGAGAAACAAATACCTTCCTAAGCATACATAGAGTACCCATATTTTTAGTCTTCTGAAAGCTTGTGACTAAGCATGTAACACTTCAGTGGCATCTCTGTGGTATTCTATAAATCTCCCTCCCTCCCTCCTCAACACTGGTTTAATAGTTCACAAGTGGCAAACTCAAAGGGTTGATGTTGTTTCTGGTAATATGATCCAAGGCTTCAATTTTATAATGTTTTTGATTTCTTCTAGGTTCATGTAGGAGAAAGTACAGTATACAGAGATCAAGGCAAGGCACCTTCAATCTAGCAATTTGGTGGGCATATTATCCTAGGAAGCTGGGTGGAGGTATGTACTGGGATATCAGTGAGATACATAGGACCGGACTTTGCATGCTTAGCTAAAAAGAAAAACAAAGGTTTGTAATATGTCCAGTTTTAAAACTTTTTTTTTTAAAACACCAGAAATATTAAACTATAATTTGTAACTACCCTTTGCATTGGTGCTGCAAAAAAGAACACAACGACACCCTTGCCCATGCTTTGCTAAGTAGGAGTGGGATTCAGCCAAAAATAACAGTGGCATTAAGTTCAGTTCCTTAAAAAAAGGAAAGGATTATATTAGAAATGGATTTAGGTAGCGCAATTGTGGTTAGTCTTACTTACTTTTTTTTTTTTTTTTTAATTGGTAGTGGTTGTTTTTCAAACAATGAAGATTTAGTAGATGAAAAATGAGCCTTAATTCAGGCCTACAAGGCCTACAAAATTCTTTGGACCCACTTTCCCAAAAATGAGTGGGTCTTGCTCGCTGGGCAAGGCAAATGTTACCATTACCAGTAAGCCTGTGATATGTATAAAACACACACACAAAAAGAAACTAAAGGGGGATGCCAAACACTTGTTTCAGAAAACTTCCTGTTGGTTGTGTTTGACGCTCTTCCCTCCACTATAATGCCAACCTCAGAAGCACAGTATCTGCTCTAAAGAGTATTCACATTTAATCAATATTGTAAGCCAGAGACAACAATCCTATTCTTTATAGATATAATTTGGAATAATAGATTTTTGAAGGCTTCCTGATTCCCTGATTGCTTTCAAAACTAAGCCACCGGCAACACTTAAGTTATAGAGAAACACAATCCCTGCAAAAGGTCACAGACAGTGGAGCAAGCAGCCTTATAAAAAAGGGAAGAAGAGAAATCCATAATAGCACAGGTTTACAGCATCTAACTAGAAATTACTTGATTATTTGTGTGCTACAAAATAGAACTTAAACACATGGATTTTGCTGAAACTGGACTCAAAAAGGGATTATGGGCAATTTTCAGCAGGCAAGGTATCAAGTGTACTTGTGAAGTATGTCATTCACATGAAGTGTCACAGTCACAGAAAAGATATTAAAAAGGCATTCCAATATCTTGTAGGGCATTCCATGGTCTGAGTTTAGCTGGTTCATCCAGGTGTCTTCTTGTTGTGGGTGGAGCTACATGTTGAGATTTATCCACTTGCAACAACTCAGTTCAGAAACAGCAACGGGCAAGTCTGTGACTTGCCGCAAGCTGATCCACAGACACTGCAGCGGGGAAGTCTGGCGAGGATAAATGGCTCAACTGTACTCAGGACTCAGTAAGTCACAACACCTGTGAGGATCTGGCTATGTCGTCTTACTCTTGTTAACTGGTTTGCCGCCATTCATTATTGCAGATGCACTTGTGCTTTTACTTGGAGTTACCCCAGCCTTTGGCACTGTTTCTCCAATATCATGCAAAGATGGTTCTCGATACATGGCAACTGAGGGGAGAAAAGAGAAAACGAGAGATATTTGTAAGAATATATCTCATTTAAGAGCTCATCTCAAATACGATTAATTTTCTACAACAACTGATGTTGCAATATAATCTACGTTCCTCTCACAAGCATGAGAGAAAATACTTCGACAGTCACTTGTTCGCATAGCTGATAGCTTTGTCTGACCCTCCAAATTTCTCACTTCCTCTGTATCTGACTTACTTAAAAAACCAGGAGGAAACTGTATACTTGCTTGTTTAATAGAAACTACAGAAGCCTTGGGAATGAAAAACTACTGTCTGCATGAGGCAGACACACAAAAATACACATATATATACACATATGTATATACATGTGTGTGTATATATATATATACACAGACCTTAAGTAAACACTCTGCAAGTTTTTAGAAGTAAAATATGGTAAGACAGATGGTGTTTAACAAATGGATCATATGATACAGTTGTCTAGACTAATGTGTTCTTGTTTTACTCCTGCATGCAAGGCTAAGCTTGGGTCCAGTTCTACAAAGTTATTTATACACCTGTCTCCCAAATCTGAGGACCTTGGTTGTGATCTCTTCAGGTGTATACTGAAGAAATGTACAGAGTACAAAACAGCAGAGTACACAAGAGATTTGAGATTTTTATTCCTCTTTTCCAAAAACGTAGGCAGTAGCCACTGATCTCCACTGAATGCAGAAGCACGGAAGACTCCAAATTAAACTGTTAACTGAATTCTTAGAGGAATTACAAGTTTGCCGCTGGGCTTCAGTCCCTATCTAACCTCTTCAAATCCTTTGAGGAAAATATGTGTTTTCAATTACACAGTTCCAGCATTATGCTGCCTTAATGATTAATGCTCTTGGATAATTCAATTTCATTTTCCATGTCACTGTATCAGGTAATATTCCCACGTATAACTAACTTCAGTAGCACTTATTCGTATTAGAGCAACATTAAAAGAGATGTCAAAGCAGTCAAAGGAATTAATCATCACAATGTGATTTCAGGAATGGCTGTGTGCTGCCATAGAGAGCACAATCCCTTCATCTCTTGGCTAATTAGAGTAAGAGGCTGGAGCATCAAAGTTCTGACCTTGATCTTCAGTGGTGTGAAGTTTCATAATAAATATGAAGGGCCCCATAGCATCATTAACTAATCAAACACTTGTTCTAATATTTCCAATGACATAATCTAACTCCTTCCATGGCTTCTGAAAGTCTGAAATTAAATGTCTTCCCTAGAGTACATAACGCTGGTTATGTTCAATGTTTTCAGAGCGTACCCATTACTGTGTTTAGGACACTTTGCTGATTTAATTAAAGAGCTTGATGAAAAAACATTGTAACCTATGAAAATATGAAGTCAAATAACATGAGCTGGAACTATAAAGGAAGAAATTATATAGCACAGCTGTTGTACTTGATGACTCTCACGGGCAATATAAAGCTAGTTATTTCTAAGTAAGTCTTGTCTAAGCTATTTTGATAAAGTATGAACATCCAACCATAAATGAAAAAAAGTAACTTCTTTCCCAATCTGTAGGAATCGATTTTGCTTTTAAAAATGCTCTGGCTTTCCATCCATACCATTCTTAAAATTTAATATAAAGGGATGGAGATATAGTGTCAATATTGTTGAGAGCTCAAGACGAGGAAAGCATGAAGGCATCAACCTGAGTTCAAGTAGGAAGTTAAAACACAGAATTATTCAGATTCATTCCTTATGATGAAACTCTAAAATATTTAACAAACTAATCCCTTAATCAAAAAAATTAAGATAAAATGTTAAAAGAAATAGGACTGCTAAGTAAAACATTACTCAGGTACATGTTTTCAGATGATAAGTAATGAGATAATTTTCTGAGGCTATGTTTAGCAGTAATATCAATGAAATTTGGAGTGCCATCAGGATAAGAAGCAAAAAACAGCATATGTTTATAAAGGCCTGCAGAATACATAGGATAACCCAAAAGTACCAAGATATAAATGAATGTATTTTTCAGAGAACGTGTGACATCATTTTAATGTGTAAGGTTCGTATGACTTTTATTCACTTCTGTCTTGGTTTAAAGGCCAACTAACATAAGTTATGTG